GTGTTGCATCGACTCGGTTCAGAATCAGTTGTTCAATAAATCGGTCGATAAAGCAGGAGTTACCATCGCGACAGTATGACGGTAAACGCAGCGCGATCTTAAATATTCTTAAGACCCGGCTCAACGGGTTTATACCACGGGCTAACCGATTCAACTCGGTTTATGCTCAAACCGATTAAAAAGTCTATTCGTACACCACTAGTCAGTACCGTAAACTTAAAACTAGGCATGGGACAGAATCACAGTGAACTGTGAAGGACTGGTGATTTATCATTTGATTTTTTCGCAAGTAGATTAGGGTTACTACTTACCGTTGTTGCTAATAAGCTGTTTTCAGACGATACATAAAGACCCTATTTCGCCTATTCAACAATAAATCTAGTTATTATTTTGTTATATATAGCTACCATTCTCTACATAATAATTAAAAAAATACTAGATTTACTGTTAAATAGCGTCTAACCTAGCTACCTAGCAACCCTAACCAGTGTACGCAAAAATCGAATGAAAAATCACAAGTTCAAATCACAGTGAACTGTGATAAAAGGTGGAGACGTCAGTTCACTCAGTTCATCAGTTCAGTGGATGTTCGTTAGAATCATAGATTGTTAGAATAATAAGTAAATAGGGTATTTAAGTACTTGAAGTAATCATGTGTCACAAAAAAAACTCCTTTCAGCCATTAATTGATCAAGATAAGGTGAAAATTGATCAAGGGTGATATTTTGCAATCGGAACCCAACAAAATACAAGCAGGTTGAAGTGTCATGCATGGTAAATTCTGCGTTTTTTTAAATATTATATACTTAACTGGTGATAATGAATTTGAAACCAAGGTAGGTAGATATCTAATTATTTTACTATAGGGGGAGTGCGGTAGAGTTGAACCCCTTTTTACCTAAAACATCATATTGCTTGTTCATTGATTTTAGAGAATCTATTATACATTTTTGCGATACCTTATCTACATTTGTGCATAATTGTATTTTTATATACATACATACAAAATCTGTAAAATAAGGTATATTTAGTTACCATCAGTAGATGAAAATTCTAACAATCAATTCATTGGTACCTCATGTATTAAGAAAGACTTTCAAATCTTAGGCCTTTTTATTTCAATAGATCAAAAAAATTCGTCCTGTAAAAATCATCCAACAAGCACTTAATGTACAAACGAGCACTAAAGCGACTATTTGTAATAACATGTTCCAAAATAAACAAAACTACAACAATTAACTTTTTAAACAAATATGTTACAAATACAATATGGTACAAATATGTAACCCCTGTAGGGTTAAATAAGTACAGTGGAAACCGGATTAATTGTTGTCGTTAGGGATTCGGATAATCGAAAGTCCGGATAATCGAATGTATGAAGAAAAGCGGGTTTTGTGAAATAAAATAAGTTTAATAATAGTAATATTTATTAATAAATAATACATTAATGTAATGTAATATTATTAATTAAAAATAATAATAATTTAATAATAAGTTTAATTTGGTTTAAAATATTTGGTAATTGGCATTTGACGTAAGCTACTTTTTCTCTTCATTGCTGCTATATCACGAATTCGTTTCAGCTGTAATAAACTTACAGTATCACTCTCTGTTTGTTTTTCAAACCATTTGAGAGCTGTTTCAGAGCTGTAGCTCATTAATATCCTTCAAAATAAAATCATCCGTATTGGTTATTGAATTTTCATTCGCCCGATTAAGTTCTCTGTTCCAAGCCTTGTTTAAAGTTTTCCTTTCAATCAAATCCCACGCATCTACAACCATGTAACAACACTCCTTTAAATTCATTCCCTTAAAAAATGATAAAACGACTTCTACATTATCTTCATCAACAGATAACAACCTACGTAAAAGTTGTTTTCAATAAAGTCGTTTCAATGTTTCAATAATACTTTGATCCATTGGTTGTAGCAAGGATGTCACATTAGGAGGCAAAAATTTTACTTTAAACTTTCCATTTTCTCTGTCTAACAATTCAGCCGAAGGATGGGTTGGCGCATTATCCAGTAAAAGTAGTACATTACCTTGCTTGCCAATTTCGTTTTGTTTTTTTTTTACTTCAGGGATAAAAGTGTTGTCATACCAGTCAATGAATATTTCAGAGTTCATCCATGCGCTTTTTTGATTTTTATAAATTAAGGGCACTCTGATATTTTTAAAACATCTGGGTTTTTTTGATTTTCCGATGAGGAGCAAAGGTATTTTATGGGTCCCGGTAGCGTTAGCACAGACTAATATAGTTACTCGCTCTTTGCTAGTTTTATATCCTGGAGCTGAATTCTCTCGCCTAGAAACTAAAGATTTTGAAGGTAATGATTTCCAGTTTAATCCGGTTTCATCAGCATTATAAACAAAATCCAAGTCATAGTTATTTTCATCCAATTTCTTTTTAAAATCATCTTTAAAAGAGTTTGCTGCATCTACATTAGCTGACATTTTTTCACCTTGTATTTCCAATTCACGAATTCCATGACGAGATTTAAATCTGTATAACCATCCGTTACTTGCGACAAACAATTCATCACCACCTAATTTTTTATTTAACTGTAATGCTTTTTCACAGAGTAAAGGGCCAGATATCGGTTGCCCAGTTGATCGTTTTTGTAAAAACCAACAATACAAAGCGTCTTCTAAAAGTTCGTTTTTCGGTTTCTTCATCATTTTCCGATGTTTACTCCCGTCTTCACTATCTAATTTGCAGGTGTACAACAAAATTGAATCGGCATTCTTCTTAATATCACTTATCGTGGATGTACCTACACAATACTCATCAGCTAACTTACGACCGGTTTCTCCTTTTTTTAATGAATCAATAATATTTATTTTGTCTTTAAGCGATAACACCACTCTCTTACGCTTTGACATTTTCAAATATTTAGACGCGACACGCACATCAGAGCGGAGTAACAATTGCTAACTAACCAAAACAATAACGAAACGCGTGGAGCAGCGATCCCGTGGGGCGCGGGCGGGGTAATGCCAGTTCCGACTCGTTCGTGCTTGCATAAATTCGACTTTTAGTACATATGTTAAACATTTTGTAACTTGGCTCAATATTACTTAATTATTTAATTGGTCGCAGTTTATAGTCCGGATAATCGCGAATCCGTATAACTGAGGGCCGGATAATCGAGTTTCTACTGTAATAACATATTTGTAATAATAGCAGTAGTGTAATAACAGCAGGATATAAAAAAAAATATGTTGTTCTATATAGTGTCTAGACAATAAATGATAATAATAACAATTAAAATTCATTGATTTTGTATATATTTATTTTTTCAATTGTGTTCCATGTGTGGTATAGTATGCATTAACACTAATATTTGACTCTTAATTAGGAACAATGAACATAATCATATATTTAGTTTTACATTAAGAATAGCTCTAGAAATATATAATAGCTAATAGAAATTTATTAAAACAATTGTTGCCTTTGTTGAAACACAACTCAACACAACACTTTTCGCAAATATATATGTTTTTCCTTTACACTGTGGATACTTACAGCGTTGTCTCTTCTCGTTCCATATAGGAAGATGATCAAATTTATTGAGTCTTACATCTCGAGGGGGAAGGATTGCTGCATTACTTTTTTTCTTCTTCTCAATCATGTCATCTGTGGCAGAAGACGGTCTTCCTCAACATACAAAGACTAAATCCACTCCCCCCATATGCTGAATATATATTTTACTATTTGAAGACAATTACCTTGTTAAACCTTGTTAATGGGGTGTTGTCCTACAAAAGATGAGGACAAAACTACGGGCTTGTTATCATACTACATTACTGTGCCACCTTCTGTGCCATCTACATAAGCTGTTCATCTTTCTGTACATCGTTCTGTTTTGGTACTCTTAAAGTCTTTCAGGGATGGGAATTTTAAATCTTTGCCTAGTCGGCCTTTGTTGACAGTTCCGAGTGACTGGATACCTTGTTTGGAAAGGAAAGAAATAAGTTCAGCTGAAGTGTAGTAATTATTGAAAAAAAAATTATACTCTTGGTATCTTGGAAGATTTCGTGCTAAGCGAACTACTATATTTCCACTTGCGCCCAAGTCAGGCTCATTAGCATGTCTCAAGTCAGAATTATTTTCCATTCCAGAGTATATCTTGAAGTCGTATGCCATGCCTCTATAGTCACATGGCACGAGGAGCTTATATCCCCCTTTGTGCGGTTTATTGGGAAGATATCGACGGAGAACACAAATAGGACGATCACAAATTTGCAGCTTTTGTTGCCCACATCTGTTCGTCCACTGATAATGTCTCCCTCTTAGGTATATTTGTTTTTTAGAGTTTCGAGTATTGGCCTTATTTTGTGAATGTCCTGGATGACCTGACTGTAATTGTAAGAAGTTGTCGTCTAATCTTCGCAAAATGATTCACGGTCATAGTCATTACGGTCTCTCTTACTATAGGTATATCTAACTCAGATTCCTAGTACATCCGTATATTAGATAATGGAGCAATGCTCATGAGCAAACATATACCTAAAAACTTTTTTAATTCGTATGTGGTGATATAGAACTGTTTAGATGGGTCTTTTTGGATACTGAATTTATGCATTTCTTCAACTATATGGTTTAATAGGTCATCATCAAAAAAATAACATAAAATGTAACATTTATTGAGATCAAAATTTCACAGAATCGGCCTTGGATGCTTATGTACTTAATAAGAAGATAGTTTTATATACAATTAGTTAATCTCTTTGTTTTAATATTATTTAACTTCTTATGTTCTATAGGAACTAATCAAACTTAACATTTACGATTAGGGTAACAAGAGTCATAATATTTTTATGAATCTACTTATTGCACATAGTACATAGACAGATCTTTTTGAAAGTTAAATATATTAGCTGTTCTTGCTGTAGAAGCAGATTTGGGTTCCGGCAATATACATACCATGTCTGATATGTAAACAGTGCCATCGTCTGTGTTATTGGGAAAAACAAAATTTCCTAGCGCCGGGTTTCTTTCATAAAAATGAAACTTTGTACTCAGTGGAACTATATTTGGTAATCACCTGACCAACATTGTGTTTGACAGACTTTTTCTTCTCGAACTTCACTAGAATAAAGCCTTTCTCTTTCACGAATTCGGTTAAAATTGGAGTTTCGTTCTCGACATCAGATCCTTCAGCAATCTCTTCAATGGGAGAACAGGAACTTTCTCTTAAACTCATGTCAGTCTCATCTTCACTTTCAGTATCTGTATTTTGCTTCTTTCTCTTTGGTTTACTTATTATATCTTTACCCGATATCAAAATTATGTCCTTTTCATCTCTTTAGCCCTTTGTTTTCTCTCTTGCTCTTGCTTCTTCAACTGTTTTGTTTTTTCCATTTCTTCTAGCCTATTTTTTTCAGGAGTAGGTATCTGTGTAAATCCTAGAAGTACCAGGCTGTTTACCTTTTTTTGACTTTTTGGTCACATCTCTAGAAATTAGGGTAGGGTCGGATCATTTCTGGCGTTATTAATCCTTGAGCAGAGGTAGATGGCAGATCAAGTGGCTGCGCCAATAAAGACGGCGAGTGTGTCTCTGATCACGGTGATAGTTGATCTTCTTGGGTAATATCTATTTCTTCTGGAATGGTTGAATGGCGTGAATGTGTGAATGACTGTGAATAATAAACTAGTACGGCGTCAAAATCACCATCGTTGAAAGTCAGCTTATTGAGTGGCCATATTCCAGTTTTTTCGAAGTTGTATACTACTCTGTCAAAAAAGTACCTAGTATTTTGATTAGTTAAAATGGTACGGATCGACTCGTGAGACACAGAAAGTTTTGAACCGCTTTTGAACGCTTTGTACTTTGTATTTATAAGTGATAAGCACGTGTTTTTGGTAAAGTCGATTCACCGTAAGCCTTCTGTAACATTTTCAGTAGAGATGGACCGAGTACTCGGTTGATACACGGTACTCGACGTGCTCGGCGGGGTTTTTGATACTCGTACTCGGCCGAATAACTCGGTTTGAATGCCGAGTATACTTTGTTTAAGAAAAGCAATATATTTAGGTAGATATAATAAAAACATCAGTGTTAATCAAAAAGTATTTATTACTAATTTAGGAAATCTTTGAAATCTCAATTAATAAAATCAAAATTATGCTAATGAATGAGTAGTAATGAGACAAAATTAAGAGAACAGTGATAAAAATAATCAATATTTAAAATTTAATAAAGGTAAGTTATGATGCAGGAACACTAGGCTCTCTGCACGTTCTGGTAACAGCCTATTTATCTTTTCTTCGTAGACGTTACCAGCCTCCGAAAACAATCGCTCGCTACACACGGTGCTTGCAGGTGAACATAGAAACACTCTTGCTAAACGTGCCAGCTCTGGGTACCTTGTTTGGTGCCCTGTCAATTGAAAATTGAATTGAAAATTGAAAATGGTCTCTATAAATGGTTGCAACTAAATTTTATTGAAAAAATAAAGTTTTTTTTTTTTTATAATTAATGACATTAAATCTGACATTTAACACATTGTATGAGATTAATTGAGGGCTCATCACATACTGGCTGGTGACAATTGGCACAGCTCTTACGAGTCTTTCGTCGTCTTTTTATTGGCAAGGCATTGCACACATGACAAGATCCTGTCAGTTTTTTTCTTCCGGTTTTATCTTTTGGAACCACTGGACCAGGATTTATCTCGATTGTTTCTGCTAGTGCATGACCTAAAATACTTTCAACAGCAATCTTTGTTGAGAAGTGACGTATCACTTGCGGATTCGCCGTACGGTGTTCAATCATCGGCAATGCTAGTTCTTCACTTAGCTTCCGCATAAATTGACGACGTTCTGTCGTTTTTTTGACAATCATTTTATTATTTTCGTAATAAATTATATATGATGCAAGTGAAGAAATGTCTAGCATGTTGAAGAACAATGCCATTGGCCATCTCGAAGATCGTCGTTGACTTGTGTACCTCCGGACCATTTGGTCCATTGTGTCAACGCCAGCTTTATATTTATTATAAAAAATTATAATTTCTGGTTTTTGCTTAGCGTCATCACCAACTGATGCATCTGAATGCATTGTAGATAACAGAATGACAGCTTTATTTTTTTTAGGACCATAAGAACACATGGTAACCTTTTCGTGAAATCCAAAAACTGTCGAATACTGCTTCCGTGTCTTATTTGCTCCCATGACACTAGGGATGTAAGGTTTATTTTTTTTTATCGTGACAACAATGGTAACATTCCACGATAACAAATGTTTAGCAACGGGTAGGGTAGTAAAGAAGTTATCCATGCAGACGTTTCTACCACTACCTCGATACGGAGACGTCAATTCTTTCACTACTCTTTCACCCTGATTTTTTTCCCGAGTGCCATCTGTTTTACCAGTGTAAATAATCCCTTGCAAAGGATATGCCTTTTGCCGCATCACAAATCCACCAGATCTTTATAGCATACTTAGCTGGTTTCGATGGTATATATTGAGTGAATCCAGTACGGCCACGGTATGGGTAAAGCTGTTCATCGATTGTCAAGTTTGCGGTTGGTTTGTACATCTGAGCTAAATTTGAATTCAACATTGTCCACACATCACGAATTGGAGCTGCCTTGTCTTTTTTTTTACGTTGACTTCGAGTATTATTATCGTCGAATCTCAAAAAACGCAGAATATTATGGAATCTCTTCAATCCCATCGTCGCGCGATACAGCGGATAAGAATTGGAGTGCCACATATCAAAAGTATGGTCCATATTTGAATTATTTGCGCCAGCGCAAATCAATATACCGAAGAATGAATAAGTTTTCGGGTATCGTAATGGGCTTCCATTGATGTGGAGAGTCTGGATGGTCAGCATTATAATGTTGATAAGTAGCTTCGGCTTTCTTGTTAGTATGACGAACGATTATATCAACCATTTCGTAGGTGAAAATTTTCTTGAAAGTCTCGCTTATTGACAACATTTTCGTACTGCGATGAGGCCCACTTCGCTGACGTACAATATTATGAGCTGTGGTCTGATGCTGAGTCAGTGGAGTTTTGCTCCACAATGTTTTATCCTTCGCAATAAAACTCCCAGATGGTTCTCGAGCTCCTCCTAAAATAAATAACAATAACAACATACATGAATTATTTAAGAAAAAAATTATTATGTCAACCATTGTTAGGAACAAATATCTTACTACCTTCAGGCTCAGCAAAACTGCTGAGCCTGAAGGTAGTAAGTACTAGGTCTACTTCTTCGTCGTCTTCCTCACTCTCGCTATTCTAAACCTCTTCTTCTACTTCTGAATTCCCTTCAGCAATTTCTCCTGTATCTTCAGAATCTTCAGGTTCATCATGCTCTGAATTATCTTCGTGATTTGCAATTTGATGACGTCTAGCTGTATTCGCTGGAATCCAGTCTTCGTCATCACTGTCAGACGGCGCGCTCGAATCACTGTCATTTTCTCCCAGTAATTTTTTCAAGTATGCATTTCTTTCGGTTGCACTTAACCTAATGAATTAATTATTATATTAAACAATTCCTTTATAATATTACTAAAAATTATAATTAAAACATTTACAAATGTTAAATATATGTAAACTTTACTTACCTAGAAAATTCAACTCTTGATAGTTCGTCGCTCGCATGACTAACTGTCCTATTTCCGTATTGTCATTTGTTCAGGAAAAGCGTTTTGCGGTTACGACATTTCTAACTATGATAAAAGTATCATCTATCGGCAATTCTGAATATTTAATTATATTTATTCGTAAAGAGTATTTATAGTACTTTAATTTTACGATATAGCTACTTATTTATTTTCAATATTAGTATTTATTTTTAATTATCAAAACAGATAAGACACTTTGTGAAAACTTTTTTTATCAATCTGAACAGTTTTTTTCTACATACGACTTTACGGTTTGGATTAAGTTTGGAAATAAAACAAGCAAAACAATACGCTTTTAAATATATATTAAGAAAAGAGTTTAACATAAGAGGAACATAACACCTTTTTAATAATTTTAATATTATTTTTTAAGAATCACAACTTAAAAAGACAGAAAAATGTTTAAAAAAAAAACAACATGAAAGTACAATCAAATTATTAGCAAACAGAATAAAAAAAACAATTTATAAACCATTCATTCAGTTATATTGTGAGATCACATGAAGCAAGTAATTGAGTATCCATTTTAAAATCAGTCTTTTTATCAAATCTTAACCATAAATTGTAATTACTTTTAGAAAACAGGTGGTTTGCAGTTTGAATGATAGGTATTATCTTAATGATGCAGTGAACGATAAAACGAAACGAATTCGGGTAACCTTATGACTGGTGTGTCACCCGCAGTCAAAGCCATTAGATCGTTGTACTTTTCTTGAGAAATCTTTGGTTGTGTAACATTGAGTGGTAAAATTTGTGAGTGCAATTCTCCAGAAACTTGCCTTCTTAATGTCAATGAACGAGAATTTTCAGCAGTGTGATCAGTTTTGAAAAAGAATTTGTTGGGATCAGCCTTCATAAAAGATAATTCCATCATTTGTCTCCAATCTACCATTTCACCAGTGTCATCTTTTCGAACAGAAAGTAGCCGCAAATTTTGTGAGAGTGCTTTAAAATCTAAAAAGTCCGAGTAGCTTAGAGCTGTGCTATATACGGTTGTCGTCTTCGTGCCAATTTTATAATGGGAATTAACTGAGAAGGAAGGAAAATGTCACCACTTTTTTAATTGCGTAGTCAATGGCACTATGAGCAGAGTCGCCCTCATTTTGGCCATGGCATGGGACAGAGATGCTTAAAACAATTTCTTGAACAGAAAGGGAATTGTTTATAACGTAAAGAAGGGTAGATGCTACAATAGAATTTTTATTTTGGCCGCTGCAGCCATCGGCAAATAAATAGACTTTCTGAATTCCTTTTTCGTCCAAACTTTTAAGGAAAAGGTATAAAGCAGTAGAAATTTCTGAAGCCCCTCTCTTACTTTGTCCTTCATGCCACGTATAGCAGAAACAATCATGTGATACCATCTCGTAAATGGTGAAATTATACACCGATAACCTTCTCTTGTAAAACACAGCGCTTTCATTACTAATGGGTAAGTTAATAACCTGCTGGAGATCAAAAGTAGCACAAGCTATTGTTAATGCATCTTTTTGAGCTTCTTGTTTTCGTTCTGATCGTTTTGCACGGAATTATTGCTTTTGTAGTATATGGGTGGTATATTTTTACACAATATTGCATACAATTTTGTCGACTTTTTGGATAAGTTCTGGGATGATCACCTCGATGCTCCTGCCCGGCCTCGGGTCGTCTTCAAGGGATTCCCTTCCTTGTTTAAATAAACTGTGCCATTTGTACACCATGGGTTTTCCTGGACAAGAGTCGCCGTAAACCAATGACATCTCATTCATTATGGTCGCAACTGATTTTCCTTGCTTGGTAAAGAACTTTATAACGGCACGATATTAGATTTTTTCCATGTTTCACTTTTCACTCCCGATTATGTTGCTTAGTTGACGATAACTCAAAGACTAATTGTCTAATAACAATGAAACCTGGTATTTATACTAATTATGAGTCACTGAACACGTGACGATTCTAATGAGCCTAATCACCCCCCCTCCAACCCTCTCATTCCGCGAACTTAAAAACGCACCCTCGTACAATCAGGTTCCATGTATATCCCTTCTCAGTACACAGTTTGAACACTTTTATTCCATATTTGACTCTTTTGTTTGGAATATATTGGCGGAAAATAAGTCTGCCGCGCCAAGCGACCAATGACTCATCGACACAAACTTTGTCTCTTGGTGTGTAGACATTTTGATAGTTTTTTATAAACATATTGAGGACGTCTTTTATTTTATACAGTCTGTCATCAGTATCAGCAGTTTGGTTGTTGGCGAAATGAACAAATTTTAGAATCAGCTCGAATCTATTCCGAGGCATAACAGTACGAGCTAGGGGTATACCATAGAGTTTGTGGTTTCTCCAGTAATCTTTGATACTTGCTAATTTCACCAAAGCCATCCATCCAACTAGAGCCAAAAATTTCAACATATCGTCTCTGGTTACTAGAGTCCATAGGTGGTTTCTTGATCCAGCAGAAGAATCTGAAGATAAGAGACACTGTGTTGCGTATAAGTTGGTTTGTTCTGTGATATATTTTAGAATGTTAGGGGTTAGAAACAAGTCATAGTAGTCTATTGGATTCGCATTAGCTAATAATCCGACATAAATATCCTTCATGCCGGATCCACCCTCACCATTTTCACCCGCCGGAAATGCTTGGTTCCCTTAGAAAAAATAAAAACAAAATTTGTACCAAATTTTTTTATTCCACTTTATAAACATGTTTTATCGCTTTTATTAATTCCATGAATAGATCTTTCCTGTATTTTACGTTATTTCGCCGCCACAAATATTCAAAAATAACATCTGCAAAATTTTCTGTGTTATTAAAATTATCCTTCCTAAAAAATCTTTTAGCAGCCCTCCACTGGGACTCAATTCGTTGAGTAGGAGTCCCATCTTCAGCTATGAATGGGTTGTCACGATTCGACTGGTTGACTTTTTTGTGTATGTAGTCATGTTCTGGCAAGCAATCATATGCTCTCCAAAAATCAGTGTGGATGGTGGTGCCAACTTCCACATTCTTCAATATAAGTGGCACCAAAACCTCAGCAGAGCGAATATTGTCTGAGCACACTTCCAACCTCAGATCTTCAGATCCATCCTCAATCATACCGAGAACCCAATGGCCCTCAATATGGCGACCTATAACAAAAAAATATATATAAAAACTGGCTTCAGTTATGAGTCGACGGAGCCCCGCTACGCGGGGCTCCTATTTCTGGGTGGTTTAAAAAAAATAAAAAACGATGGCTAAGGCGGGAGCTTCGCTGCGCTGCGCTCCCACCTACTGCTTACCCATCAAACCTAACCCAATGAAGTCCGATTGTGCCAACTCGGAGTAATAGATTGCTATTAAGACCTAAGAATTATGTCCTGTTCTTATACATTTCCTATAAGACATAATATATAAAATATAATTACCTCGATTATATTTTCTTTTTCCAAATTTAGATTCATCGATCTGGACTATTTTTCCGAGGCCACCATTCTTTCCAACTACTTCATTTTTGTCAATTTGGTATGCCACAATGGTTTCTCGGCAATAATTATTAGAGTTGCCGCGAATACTCGCTATTATTCGGTATTCGGCATTACTCGTCATTTTTTTGATATTCGTCGAATACCGAATAATAGCTAGTATTAATCGGCATTCGGCGAATAGTCGTCTAAAATAAACTTTTAATGAACAAAAAAACTAATGAGTTAAAAATAAACATTTTTTAATTATTTTCCCTATTAAAACAATACAAAATATCAATTATTATCTGTAATATGTGCCTGTGCCTATCATATTCATGAAATTAAATTAGTTAGGCTTTTTAATTAATATTTAAAATCCAACAGAGGCAGATTGTGGTGCAAAAAAACAATTTTTTCTGCACGTTCGGGAGCAAGTCGGTTTCGTTTTTCCTCGTAAATTAAACCTGCCTCGGAAAATAGTCTTTCTGAATAAACAGAGCTTGCTGGTGTGATTAAGTATCGTTTAGCAAGCTTACTTAAAATAGGAAATCTATTCTTATTGGTACCTAACAGAAAAATAAACCCATATGAATGGTGGTCTTTGAGTCCACCATTCATATGGGTTTATTTTTCTGTCAGCCTTTGGTAATGCGATGTAGTTGGCGATTTCTTCAGCAGTGGCATTCTTGGGTTGCTCTTCAGTAGGTTGCTCTATAGATGATTCTTCAAAACATGCCCAAAATAGTTTTTGAGTTTCCGAATCGATCTGCTAACTTTAATTGTCTAAACGAGACCTTTTGGATGCAGTTTCTGGATCCGAATCATCATTTTCGTCATCTAAAGAAAGCCTAAGACCTTCTCTGAGCGCAGCTCTACGGATCCGTATAACTTGGGTAGCGTCAAAGTAAAAGTTCTTGTAGCGGGGGTCTAAAAATGTCGACAAGTAATATGTCTTCCTAAAGCATAGATCGTCCAAGTTAAAACGGGCTTCCATATTTTCTATCAACGCCTTTCTAAAATCAGCAACGTGTGCAGTTTGTTGAATCAGCGCATCTTTCATTAGGTATCTGCTTAATGAAACAGTGCTAGCTATCACATCTGATATATGTGCATATGTGGAACTCGTGATTTTTGTTATCTCTTCGAAAGGTTTTAAGAGCTTTAACAGATGTTCTATAACCTCCCACTGATCACTGGTCAAATTTTCAAAATTCACGCTCCTTGATTCTGAAATATACACCGAAATTGCTCTTTTTTGTTCAGATAGACGCTCCAGTAAGTAATATGTTGAGTTCCAGCGAGTTTGAATATCTTGAATCATTTTATGCTTAGGAAGTCCGAGCTCAGATTGAATACTTTCAAGTTTTGTATATCCTGAATGATTAAAATGTGTCCCTATGCGGCGGGCACTAGTAAGTATTTCTTTTATTGGAGAACTGTTATCTAATGCATTATTTATCACCAGCTGAAGAGTATGTATGAAGCAACGCTCTGAAGGAAGTAGAGTTTCCTTAACTCCTTTAACCATATTCGCCCCATTATCGTTAACAATCGCTTGAATTTTAGTGATGGGTATGTCCCATTTCGTTACACACTGTAACAGTTCTCTTTTGATATTTTCTGATGTGTGTGATTCAGGAAAATGTGCCATGTTTAGAACAGCATGATTCAGTTTAAAGTTTTCTGATATCCAGTGTCCTGTGAAACTCAGAAATGCAGCATTATTTACAGAAGAAGTCCAAAGATCGCTAGTGAATGCTATAGCTTCAGCCCTTTCTAACTCGTTTTTTAGTTTGTTAACCACTCTCTCATACATGTCTGGAATTATTTTCTTGGTGATATATGTCCTGCCAGGAATGGTGTATTGCGGCAAAGCATTATTAATAAGACGTTTAAAGCCCACATGATGATCGACGATGAAAAGTGGCTCGTTGTCAACAGCAATCATTTCACCAATCAAGTAGTGATATCTTTTTGCTCGGCTATCGTTGATGTCCCAGAGCTTTTTTTTTTCAAGTAGTTGTTGCAGTGACTGTTGCACCAAAGGCTGACTGGGCAACTGGGTGGACGAGGAGGTACTTGAAGATGACTCTGCGGGAGCATTATGTTAAGCATGACTACTTGAGCTTCCATAAATTTTACAATACTCATCTGCGAACAAAGAAAAGAACCCTTAATCAGGAACGTAGGTAGCGGCAATTATTTAAATAATGTGCTACAAAACTCACAATAGTACAATATACTTCATAAATGAAAATAACTTTTGAAACAAATATTATATTCTTACTAAATTTTATTATTACTTAGTAACGGTAAAATAAATAATATAAGTAAAAAAAAAAACTAACCTGGGTGTTTGAATTTCAAATGATTCTGCAAAGCCGTTGTTCCTGCTTCCTGCTGTTCCTTTTTTAGCTGCTCTACTTATTTTTACACCACACAAAACACATTTTGCACTGTTCTCTAACTCTTCCTGTAAAAAATGTATCCAAACATGAGATTTTTTTCCTGGGTTAGGCTGTAATATTAAAAAAAAAAAAAAAAAAATTTGAATGTAATTGGGTTATGTTAATGTTATCTGTGTTCTAAATAAACGAATAAACTAACTGGTGGCACCACAAATCCTAACAAAACTAATAATCTCGGGCGCCAGGTGCCTTAACCTTAAATGAACACAGACAACTAACCACAAATGCAATGAATGCCTCGAACAGCTCTTTCAGCACTAGACTTTTAATCTAGGATGGGGGGCAGCTATTAAATACAAAGATGTTATAAGCTTAAGTGGCAGTTTATTATCCCGTAGTGTCTGTAGAGTACATGGTATCTTATAGGACTATAGTTACAAATGTAATTCTTATACTCAAATTAGTACTGTCATTAATGCAATCTGTTTAACTGGTTAAAACAAACTAAAATTAAATATGTTTTGAAGAGTCACATAAAGACTTCATAAATAGGAAATGAATCTAAGGGTAGTTTAACAACGCCAACAAAATTATTATAATAAAGAACATACCTAATGACTTTGGCTCTGTCCGTATGAAATTAGAGTAAACTTAATTCTTATAAACCTCACTCGTGCTCCCACGTGGTTGTAGTGGCGGGGTAAGTATTCCAAGGTTCCTGATAATGGACTGCAGCTAAAGAACTTTTCCTACCATTATAGGGACGCTCCGCAGCCAACTAAATCCTTGGATCGGGCCGGTAGTGAGGTAAAAACCAATTGTAACGTAAGGAAATTACAATGTAATAAAAGAATTAAACTAAAGGTTAAATAAAGATCTGAAGTAAGATAAGAAAATAAGGTAAGAACCCTGTTATCAGGGTTCCAAAGCGTTTCACAAACAAAGCAGCGGCATTATGATTAATTCCTTTACAATGAAAATGACAATTCCAACAAAGAACTCGTGTCATTAACGAGGCCGGCCAAACATCAAAAGATGAATTATGCCTTCGATTACAGCAAATAAATATGGATTACTAACATAAAAAAATTATTCACACGGGCTCAAAACCAAAGTGCCAGCCATGTTGCCATTGCCAAAACTCCGCTCCTAACTATAACGCGACAAAAAATGTTGCCAGAACAAGAAAAACCCAAATCGATACATTACCATAGACGATCAGCACCGACTTTTATTCTCGACCGTGACACCGTCAATCGGAGCTCACTGAAACGTCATAAAATTCGACCGTCAAACCAAAAACGCGTCGATAAGCGAATTTTCTGTAAAGGTGCGGAATGCACCGTTACAAGGCATGATTGTTCTTCTTTTTAAGTAACACTTTTACTAATTAAGTATTCATCAAGTCTTTAATTCAATAGCAATTTTCAAATAAGTATAGAAATAAAAACACGACAACCGATGTCTAAAATCAAATAACAAATGCGTGCCGCCTATCCTAAACACAAGCGTATTGATTGAGCGGGAAATCCCCTATAATAATAAACGCTGGGTTATACAAAACGGGGTATTCCCCGTAAACTATGAAAAGGGTTGCCAGCATTTAAAAGTGGAAAATTAAATTTACTACATATATGTAAATATGTATAACACGAAACAGATTTCTTTAACTTTATTGTTTTCTTTTCTCACAACCTTAGAAGAAATTAGAAATATTTTCAATGTGTTTTTTATGTCGAATAGTGA